ACAGAATAAAATAGATGAACTGGACAAACTTCCATATTCGAAATCACGATTGGTTTAAGGGTGTGTCATTTTATTGATTGACCACCAAATTTCGCAATAATTAGTCCAAACTTCCTGTTACACAACGTTTCTAATTCCTTCTTAATCCAATGTTTAAAATCTTTGATGATATCGGGTCACAGATTTCGGCCCTTCATTTATAGACATATTTTGAAGGACTTGTCTGAGCAGCTTGAGAGCGCACGTGTGTCAATGCCGATAACGCATCCTGAGCCATCATTATGTGCTACAGTGCATTCGCCGCCAAGGGTGTCTCCTACAGTGTCAAGGCCATTAGGTCACAGGTCCCGTCTCACCAGGCGTGAACGACAACCTCAGGAAGTGATGAAGCTACCATCTCTTGGTGTTGAGGCAGGTCAGGAGTCAGTTGTGCAGGTAGCAGGCTGCTTCCGGTCTGCGATCTTATGCCACATTTTTAAGAAGGAAAAGAACTTCCAAACTAGTGTGACCAACATTAAAAAACGTAGGAAATATTCAAAATCTCCCCATATTTTGGCTTAAATCTCCGCTCATCTGAGACACTAACAAACACTCCATCATTTGTAGGATAGCTGCTCATTATTTGTGTTCTTTAGTGAAGTTTCACTGACTGCAAATATTACGTTGCCGTGCGAAATTTGCGAGTCCCCCGGCTGAAAACAATGACTGATATTAGATTGTAATGTTGTCCTCCACAAGCCTTCTCTCATCCTCAACACAGTTAGTTTCACAGTTTTCATCCACATTTTGAGTACATAGGTATAAATTTCGAATATTTATGTAGCAACGAGGTTCACTACAAGTTGAACAACTGGGTTCGAACATTTAACTAAGAGATTTTCTTTGGAAAACATACTCGATCATCCCATGGAAGATATCTCTGGTGTTTTGAAACGACTTCTTACAAATAAAACAACAAAAAAACAAACTCCGTGGTTTTAATCCGCAAGCGAAATATACCGACCTAGAGACCGCCGCTTGTAGGCGAAGCTATTGCCAAATTAGGGGATAAAGAGTGTCACGTGGTCAGCGCAACGGATCCCCACGGCTGTTAATCTGGGTTTTCTAGACCGAAGCCCTTATTTCCTTCAAATAGCTCCTCAATTATCCTCACGAGGCTGAGTGGACCCCTTTCCAGACCCACTACTTCTCAGAAAACAATCTGGTAGGGAATTGAACCCGGACCTCTGGATCTGTAGTCAGGAACTCTGACCATTAGACGACAGAGGCGGTCAACGACCTCTCTTACAAATAAACATTTTTGCCCATTAGCACTATCTCCTTGGACTTCGTGTTCAGCATGATAAAGCACGGAAGACAGAAAGTTCAGACAAATTAATGTATTTTAGGGATGGATGAAGAGATTCGACTTGCGGTAAGGTCAGTTATGTTTTGTTTACCACCACACCCAGCCATGGACTTTGGAACACGCCTAGCTTCCTGTGTAATGGATACTGGAAGCTTGCACCGGAGCCTCAAGTTGAGGGCTAACCTAGGAATGAGATCTAGAAATCTAGATGATTCCTACAGGTTTTTATAACGTGTAGTTCATCCACGGAAGCAACTCTCCTCTACCACCAAAAGCGTCGATGTCACGTGATATATACAGATGACCCAAAAGTAAGTTAATGGATTAGTAAAGTGTGCATTAAAATAGGTTAGAAACGAATTTATTATTTATTGAATTTGCGACAATTTTTCGAAATGAGATCTCCCATATTCAATGCATTACTTAAAAATGAGTGTGGCCGACTCACACCAATCAAAACTTCCCCGTTAATACGAGAGAATGTTTTAGGTTAACTGCCTATTCGGCCAGTCTGTAGTATGGTAGTATTATCCTTTGGGGACTCATAAGTAAAAAATAAAAAGTAAAGCTATCCCTGTAACAGGCCGTGAAGGCCCATAGGGTTGTAAGACGTTGAGGGTTCCACATTATCTAGACAATCGGCTCAAAGATGGCGGTAAGGTTGTCAGCCTCACGCGCCGGCCGCGCTGTACCTCCCAGGAAAATTATTTAATTAATTCCTGATACTCATTTCTGTTAGAGGCTGAGTTGACCCCAGGGCTGTAGTGCGGTTGGAAGGATTGGGTCAATTGAAAGAAATCCAATGACCTCATCGGGACTTGAACCCACGACCTTCTGGCTTGTAGCATAGCCCCTCAACCAACTACGCTACGTGACTCATTCTAACTCGATATCGGGAGTTATTAAGATGAAATCTTATGAACACATCTGCAGCAATCGCATGGAATCTCTGTGTCGTGACTTGTTACGTGCTGGAAAGTGTTTAACTATACTTTATGAAAAAATTACACGAGTTGGAGTCTGGATACATCTTCAGATTCTTTGTCTTTGAGTGAATTGTAGTAGAAAAGTAACTTAGGCGTATGGATTTTAATTTCAGAACTGGAGGAATTTTAGTTCTGGATCAAATTTCATTCCCCAAGCGTACACTATATCTTAGCTCCTAACAGTCATTCACTTTCTCAAAAATTAAAATATCCGTTATTTACATTTTACCTTTATGTCTTATTAATATACCGGAAGATGTACAGGCTTATTCAAAAGACCATGGACAAAGGTTCTGATGTGTCTCTCACTGTCGGAGAACAAGATACTCGTATGTTGAAATGCAAGGAAAATATGCCGAAGAGCACAAAACAAATGTTATGGCTCTGAGATAACAGGTAATGTAACTCTTTGGAGCACAGTTGTTACTTACAGCTTGAAACAAACTCCGTGATTTTAGTCCGCAAGCGAACTCTACCGACCGAGCGACCGCCGCTTGTCGGCGTAGTGCAAACTTTTGCGGATAGAGGGTGTCGCGTGGTCAGCGCAACGGATCCCCTCGGCCGTTAAATTCGATTTCTAGACCGGACTTACAGCTTATCCTGACGTTAAAACTCTACATTTTCACATAGCTTACGAGTATTTCTGTCTACCACATTATTAAAAACTATTAAATAACTGGTCAATATTAATCAATATGTGTTTCTAATACAAATGCGAATGGTTTTACTTGAACCAGGAACTTAATTTCCAAACACAGCTTAGAAGAAATTCATGCTCCAAAGGGTTAACAATGACATAAAATACTGAAGTCATTTAGTATTTAATGAGGTTATAGAATGATGGTGTACGGTGAACTGGGCGGGAGCAGTCTTGGTAAAATTCCAGAAAATAAAAGAAAAAAAAACATATGAAATTGCAGTCAGAATATCCGGTGGTCCGACCAAAAAGTCTTGACCCGAAAATCAGGCGCGTTTTGGAGTGAGGAAAACTAGCTGTTCTACAATAAATATTTTGCATTCAAGTGGCCTCTTCTTTATTATAAGTAATAAAGAAAGCATCTTGACTGCATGAACATAAGCTGTGTATTTGCTGAGACAGCCGGCATAGCTGAAAGGACGGGGTGGCTTTCCACTAAGGAAAACGATTTTTCACTATTCCACAGCACTCAAACCCGCTCTGGGGTCTATTCGGCCTCCTGCCGAAGGGATAGACCAGTTATTATAGCGACTAGCTACCGGGGGAATGGCTGACGCATGGGAATTTGAGTTCCAGAAGTGGCAGGACATTTCTCCTCTCCACATCATCGATACCGGCCCTGCAGCCCACCAAGTCCTGTCCAATGGACAGCCTCTCTTCGGAGGCAAAGCGGCCGGGGCGTGAAGCTGACCATTCATCAACTAGTGCCGAGGTCAACAATACGTGGATTTATATATCCACTCACCCATACGCCTTCACGGCCTAGTGCTTAATTAGTTAGGCACAGGAACAACTTTACCACGTAGCCAGTAGCTATGCCGTCTACGCTACCCCGGCTCCCTAATATACCAGTAAGAATTACAAATAATACGACACTTTGTAAAATTAGCGTAAGAAGATCATTTGACCTAGGTGGGATGATGTAATAAGATACTCAAGAAAATAACATTAAGAGGACCTTCACTAATTGTGGTCTTATAAAATTATTAGACGAATAAAATCATTGAGGATGAGATGGGTGAACACATACCTCGCATGAGGGAGATAAATTCATGAAAATTGTTGTGAAAGTGAAACACAGATATAACTCGAAATATTTAGGTACGGGTAATACGATAATATTAAAGTAGTTCTTAGGAAATAGAGTCTAATGGTGTGTACTGGATTCATGTGGCGTACATATGGGTCCAATGGTGAGAACTTAAGAACACAGTAATGGAACTTTCCGCAGGAAAGGCTGGGAAACAAGAGATTGCCAGCGTGTCAAGAAGGACTTTACTCAATGGAGTTGTAGCGAATAATGGCTGGATTTTAGTGATACGCGGGAATGTGGAGAAACTGCATTCACCGCAAATCCTTTGTGGACAAGCTGGGGTATGGTCTGACAGATGAGAGATCCATTACGCAATGCTGAATACAAATCGAATGTTGTTTTGAATCGATTTATATCGCATTGTGGTGATAATTTAGAAACACCTGAAAGAAGATGCGTACTCTTTTCTTCACAGCTACCATTTCATTCTTCTTTGGTGTTTTATGTTGAGGACCTTTCATGGGCCCTCCGCTACGTACAATTCTTTCAAGCGGACTTTTTTTTTTCAATAAACCGTAATAATCGTTTCTTTCCCGCAAATTTATTTTGGCAGTTGTACAACATATTTTTAAAGAAGCTGCTTTTTATTACATGTGATTTTTAAAGGCCTTAGTGCCATTTATCACTGTGGGTTTTTAGTGTAAAAAAAGAAATGACTTCCATGAGTAGGGTCAGATGTTGGGGGTGGTAGTGGATGGAGCTTCCGGAAATGGCGAATGGTGGTGGTACTGAGGGGTAGTTCTAGTAGGAGTCTTTCGTTAGGGGTTGGGGATTTAGTGTCGGGGTGGTTTTGCAACCTGAACCTTGGTCTGTACTTTTGGGGTAGAGAATGGTCATACTCGGGTTAGTTGCTTGAGGGTGGGGGAGCAGGGAAGATCGATGAAGAGAGGGCGGAGGGATGGCATAGGAAGTGGGGGTCGTGGTGGTCGTGGTGGTAGTTTTTATGACTGACTCAGGCCTATAAGTTTCTTTCAGTTGTTGAGTGACCGTTGTGGAGAGGTGACTACTGTTTCTGGTGACTGGACATGTTACTTGTTTGTTAGTAGCGACAGCATGGAATAGCTCACGTGAAGAATAACTGGAATTCAGATACTAATAATTACCAGGTAAGAACAACTGGTCTCATAGTCGTTAAGAGTGGTAATTAATAACAATAATACTCTTCCTTATTAATTTAATTAACACCTACAGTAAGGAAAGTAAAAATTATGACAAGCCGTCGCAGGTCAAGGGAGCTCTATTGCTATTTCCTTTGTTTTGAGTGTACTAATATACGCAAACAAAATTAATTTCCTTCCCTAACACTAGTTGAGTGTGGGGTCAGAGATAGAAGCGTCCAACCGAAACTGGATATGTGATAACGTGCTGCTTGGCCAGGGCTATATTGTTAACGAGTTAATGTAAGAGCAGGAGTGGTCTATAGATTAAAATCATCCATGAAATAAAATGGATATGAAAATGAGCTTCTCGTATGAGATTACTTTTTATTTTAGTATGTGATGCCGTCTACATAAAAATCAGAATATACAAAACTAATATTTTGCCTGTGGTTCTATATGGGTGTGAAACTTGGTCTCTGGAATTAAGGGAGGAACATAGACTGAGGGTGTTTGAGAACAGGGTGTTGAGGAGAATATTTGGACCGAAGAGAGATGAAGTGACCGGAGGTTAGAGAAAGCCGTGTAATGGGGAACTTCATAACTTCTACTCTTCTCCAAATATAATTGGAATGATCAAGTAAATGAGGATGAGATATGCAGGGCATGTAGCACGAATAGGGAGAAAAGGAATGCATATAAGATATTGGTGGGAAAGCCAGAAGGAAAGAGACCACTAGGGAGACAAAGACGTAGGTGGGTAGACATCATTAAAATGGATCTTAGACATGATGTGGCGTTACGGACTGGATCGAACTGACTCGTGATAGGGACCAGTGGAGGGCTCTTGTGAACAAGGTAATGAACCTTTGGGTTCCATGAAATTCTGGGAAGTTTTTGAGTAGCTGCACAATTGACTGTTTCTCAAGGAGGACTCAGCTCCATGAGTGATGTGTGGACATAGGTGGATTTATGCGTTATATATAACTGGGCTCCCAACTACCAAACAGAACGGCATCAAGCATGTAGGCAGGGTAATTCACAACCTCGTCATTACAACCGTCACAAAACAACTGATATCAAGATCAGTGCCAGTTTGTCCGTGGGAACGCAACAAAACATCAATCAAAGAATTTTATTCTTGAAGAAAGTCATCGCCGTGAAAACCTCAAAACTTACAATTTTATTCTTGTTTTATACTATAACTTCTGTTTTATATGATCTAACTTATTGTATTTTTACGTCAAGTATTTTTTTATATAATTAATAATATTGTATCCAATTTTACTAGTACTGCGGTTCGGTGGTGTATATATTTTGACCATGTATTAGCCTGATGATGGCTATTAATAGCCGAAACATGTAGGAGAGCCAAAACAAGGCACTGATCTTGATATTAGTTGTGTTGTGACGGTTCTAATAAAGAGGGTTAACACAACAGGATGCATGAAATAAAGAAAAAAAGGTACTTCACTTTATAGAAGGATGCATTTGTAATTTTTTTCTCCAGTTATAGTAAGCCTATACTTGCCATAGCGTTAATCCTTGGTGATGAATTGTATTTATGGATGTATCTTACTGCGTAACTGAGAAACGTTAGTTTAGTTAGTCTAAATTCCTTTGCAAAGTATTCACTGTTTCGTATTACATACAGAGTTAGATTATAAGAAGGGTTGTGAAGGGTAATGAACCTTCGGGTTCCATAAAATGCTGATAAATTCTTGAGTAGATGCACAATTTGCGGTTTCTCAAGGAGGGCTGAGCTCCACGAAGTAAGTTTTTAGTTATGTGATTCCGTCTTGTCCAAGTTAGTCTTTCTTTTTTAAAATTCACTTAGTGGGGGGTGGAGTCCAACTGGTTCCACTCGGCACGGCGGCCACTGATTGCCCTATTGTAGCCTGCCCCGGATGATTATGATGATGGGGAATTTGGTGGAATGAAGATTGGCAGGGGAAACCGAAGTACTCGGAGAAAAACCGCCCCAGCGCCACTTTGTCCACCACAAATCACACTTGACCAGATCCGGGATCGGAAAGCCAGTGACTAACCGCTTGAGCCTTAAGTTAGTTATCTTAGTAAGAATTCAAATCTTACAAGATTCTCTTAAGTCAAAATGTAATTAGAAATATTTTCTTTGGAGCATGTCTTCATAGGCCTAAATGAGTTCTGAGGAAATAGGCAGTTTTAACATTTAATTCAAAGACACAGTCAACAGAATTATACAAACATTCATAAATTTCACGTATAATGAGAAATGTTATCGCTTTGTTTTGAATCCAGTAGAGTAGGGCGTGGGAAGAGTTCTAATGCACTATCCTACCAAGTGCCTCGGAGTGAGAGTAACACAGAAAGGCCTCTGCCAGGGTTGCTTAGGTTCTAACAGGGTACCACTGAAGTATGTGACAGGAATACTAAATGTTATGTCGTAAAGACTAATGTGAAAGTGCGGAGAAAATTGTTGTTGAAATTTTCAAACTTCTCCCAAAATTAAAATTCTGGGTACTGTAGTTATTGAGCGGCCATGATATCAGATTATTTTAATTCACGGGTTCCTCCTCTGGAAAAGTGAACTACGCCTTACTACAAGGAACAGATATGTTCCTGGGAGGGAACTCCTCACTCATCCGGTCTAGTAGCTACAAGCATGTTAGTAACGCGACGACCCATTACCTCGACATAGCAGCCCATCACCGGTCTAGAAATCAATTGAATCAAGTCCATATCCCATTTTAATTCACTTTTAAATTTTAGGGTTTCCAAAACGGCGTGTTTCCCGATTAAAATTCTGTGAGCAGTTCAACTTACATGCGTGCTACAGGGTACACCCACTGCATCCTACTTGGTTTGAGAATACTAACAATAATTGATGCCGGTCACTGTCTTCCCTCGCTTGGAAACCGGGATCGTGGGTTCGAATCCCACTAAGGGCATGGATGTTTAGTTTGTGTGTGTGCGTTTTTCTGCTTGTGTACAGGTAGAGGCCTTGCGACGAGGCCTACTGTACCAGCCCCAGATGATAGATGAGGGTGGCTGTAGAGCAATTGGTGGAGTGAAGATTGGTAGGGGAAACCGAAGTACTCGGAGAAAACCTGCCCCAGTACTACTTTGTCCACCACAAATCCCACTTGACCAGACCAGACATGATAACCCGGGCCGCCGCGCTGGGAAGCCAGCGACTAACCGCTTGAGCTATGGCGCGGCCTTAATTGGCTGCAAATTTGTCATAGAACAAGCTGAAACATTTTTCATCTTACCGTAAATTGTGCTAGAGTAGTTTTCATATCACACATCACGTCTCCTCCCCCTTGTTACATGCACAATGTCACTGCTTATGTTTCTTGCTGTTAGGCAAGACGACGCCTTCAGAAAAAGCGTGTGTTTAACTGTTTCTGGGTTCAAGGGGCATTGCAGTGGAATATTTTCATGTGATCTTTGCACAAAATATACGAAGTAAATTCATGCAAGGAGGCCGTGCCCATCTGTACCACTGTCCGCATGTTACGTTTCTCAAAACTGCGCCACGGATTTCAATAAAATTGCGGATCTAACGAACAGTTGAATGGCCATTCTAATTTTGGTCCGTGTGGATTCAATATAACAACAAATTTATTGAAGCTCAGATCAAAGCTAAAATAATTAAAAGAACGGCACTTATGCAAGAGAAAACGAAGATATAAAATATTAAAGGAGATGTCATTAAAATTGTCACGTGATTATGAGTGTAATATTGTGGAGCATAGATCAGTTGTTAAGCGGTAACTCTGTAAACAGCGACAGTTTCAGGGCAAGGGATCGGTAAACATATTCCCGCTGCTAGGCAGCAGATTTTTAATAATGCAATATTTGAACACAACAATAGAAGAGCTGTGTTTTCTATGTGGCTCTTGCTTAAATGTTATAAGAAATGTACAAAGTTAGTTGACAGTTCGGTTGAGTTCTGATCGGGAGTCCGGGAAGAGAGGTCTTGAGCGAGTGAAGCTGAAGATTTTGCATTGTTAGAAGCCATTGTCAAGAAACGAATGGTGAAGGCAACAGGTTGGAGATGGATTAGCGTGTGCTGTGGTAATTCGTGAATTGTGGAGACTAGCTGTGGCGCTGTAAGTGCTTGTAGTTCCGAGTGGTGTGTTAAAGTGGTCAATAAATCAATTCTCCCATCCAAACCCCGTCTATAGACACATTAAATCGTGACAGCTGCAGTCAGAAGTGGTCTCATTAGAAACTTAATTGAATCTTGATCGTTATACAGTCATCATACAAGACGGAACAAATGATGGAATGCCTGCTGGCTGAAAAGGAACCAACCCAGAAGAAAAGAGAACCGGCCAAACACCACCTAAAAGAAGAAATGCTGTCCAAGTTAGATGATCATCTTGGAAAGATAATGGCCAGGATGAACTCCCAGTTAGAGAAAATAGAGACCTGTCTAGAAAAGAGGGAGGCCACGGGTTTGGAGGCAAATCCTGAAGAAAAGGAGACCATAGCGAACTATCCAGAAGTCCTTAAAGAAGACGCCGCAGTGGGATCGACCTCTGGCCGTAGGGCGTCGCCGGCAGCCAAAGAAGTACCTCGCAAGGGATGTCATCAAGGAATAGGCAGGGACGATGCTGTACTAGGAACCCCTAAAGGGCGAACGTTCGGGAAGAGACGTCGGGCTCAACCGGAATGCAAGAAGGAAAGAAAAAAAAAAAGACCAAGGAGCAAGACGGCAGCTACGTCTAGGAAGCAAGAGGTCTTTCAACAAGACCGTCACGCAGACTTTCGGACGGAGGTCGTGAAGCGAGCAGTCGGGATTTCTATCGGGTTACGTGAAGTGAGTGACTGGACACTGTGGAGGTGTCGGCTCCCTCCGAAATGAAAAAGATTACTAGCAGCTTCAGAGCCAGAAATGTAGGGACATCGACTTAACAGAGCTGCTGCATTCAAATTTAAGGAGGAATACACATACAGACTGACAGACTGATGGGAAGGCCCATACAAGGTGGTCGCCCTGATAATTGATGAGGTATACA